TTATCTATGTAAATAGATGCATGGATTTTCTTAGCCTCAAAATTTGCATAACAAGTCCTTACAAAATGCAATTTTTTCTAATTTGATATTTATTCACGTCGAGAATGAGATGATCGAGTCTCCAATCTGTAATGAGTTTGTAACCACAACGCAGACGTCCAAGCAGTAAATTTTTTATGATCAGTAAGCAATAACATTTTTTGAATTTTCCATGCAAAAAGCTTTAACCGCAATGCATGCCCTGTCTGAAGATACCGATCCAACAAAAGGTAACTGACCAGTGCACAAGAAATTCGATTGACGCGACGATCTACTACTGGAATGCAGCAAAGTTAATACACAGTTTGACCTAAACCAATTTAGAATTTAATTATTTTTACGAAATCCATTATTGGAACCACTACAATGCTTATTTATTTGTTGAGACAATGAATCTCTCTAAAAATACTTTGGGAAATGGAGAGAAAGAGACGAAATGCCGGAGGGTTAAAGTGTTAAAGTATCTAATTTGCAGCAGCGGAATGATTCCTGTTGATTACTGGCGAATCGAATAAAAAATGATAGATTACACATTGAAACATTGATGTTGAAACTTTGAATTCCATTCCCTTCACAATTCGTGAGTACGTATTCACAAAGTTAAGCTGAAAAGCACAAGTTAAAAGCCAATATAAAACGCCCAGCTGTCACAGCCAGCGTTTTAGTGAAGTTTTGAATTTGAAATGTACCGACGACTCGTCTACCTCAAGATCTATACCCCACACTACAAAAGTTGAGATGGGAACAACGAACACGACCATAATATACACTTTAAAAGTTCGTTTAGTGCATGAGGAAAATGTAACCAAGTTCAAGTCCACACCACGCAGCCAGCAGTGTTCTTCGTTCGCTGGGCTGAACTGCTGCATTGTTGCTCGCTCGTTTCTTGTGATCTTATCTTAACCCGCAATGATCATAATAGGTGCTTATAGTGTCTTGTATCGCAACTTGTATCTGGCCTGTCACTATCAATTCATGTCATTGCCCTTCAACTTTGCATCCCTTTGTGCTATGTGTTGAAAGCCACGGAGTTTCTATGTGTTTAACTCTACACGAACTTTTGCTTCAATTATTATTGTTTTCAATATATTTTACAGTTTTCAAACTCAGAAACTTGCTGGATGAACCAGTGTTATTGCCTGGCCATCATTTTAATTAGTTTTATGTAACTCACCAAAGCACAAAAGTCTATTGTTGTAAACGAAGCTCTGAAAAAGTTGCGATATTAGATTTTTCTCCCTTTAATTTCCTCCTGTAGTTCATTCAGTCAAACTCTTCATCCACATGGGAGATTAAGAGCTTAAAAAAGCCTGCCCCCATATAATATTTAACCGTACTAACCAAAAAACCAACCAGCCAACCATATCAATGAATGGTCTTTCCACTTCCTTCAACTAAGGCGGCGAGGACTTTCTCTCATTATTAAATGTTCCGCATCATAACGAGGACAAGCCACAAAAAGCTTGGAACAGTAGCAGCTTTCGTCCGCAAGTAAATATGTGCATGTATTTACGAAAAAAATCTATCCGAGTCAAATACATGTATGACTCATTTTCGATACGTACATATTTGGGTATGTGCATATGAACGTATTTAGGACGAAGGGTACAAATGAACTGCATATACGGCTTTGTTTGGCTAATATGTAATACGAAGGATGATTACTTTGGTAATGATTAAGGAAACTTTCGGATAAAATTTGTAATTATTTCGGGTCGGATTTTGATTTTCATGAGCGTGGTAGGGTTTTTTCATGCCGTTCACCACGACCACCGCAATGCCGCCCATCTCATCATTTTATGATTGAAATCTACAGACTTCTCTCACCATACATAAATACACCATTCAACCAATTTTTCATTTGCATTGGAAATAAACTTTGAATTGAGAGATAGTGGGAACTTTAATTATTGAAAAGAAAGTTAAACGCATCCAATCCCTTACGTACCCTTTTAATAATGCCGAGCTCAATAAGCTACAGTGGTTAAAGCTGAACAGATTTTTGGTACAAATCTGTGAGAATCCGCTGTGAAACTACTGCGGACGGACATTATTGTAAGGATGAAGAATAATAATAATATGTGTACGGAGCTCTTTATTCCGTAACAAGGTTTGCTGGATAGGGGGAGTGAAATTCGTTTCCTAGTCGGATCTGGGGCACGAGGGAGGGAGGGGTGCAAGTTCGGTTTTGTGGTCTCCAAAATCCCGTGTGGAACAAACTCTGGTTACACTTGCAGATTTCCTTGCACCCTCTGACATCCCTTTATTGGATTGAGCCACATTCCCTTTTTTTACACTGCCACACTGCATATTATTATCCCCATTACACTTTTTACCCTGAATTGTGTCACCATCATCAGACGTTGCAAACGACCCTGCTCCCGTCCTTTATTTTCTCGACACGAGCTGAAGGGCGAGAGCAATACGGCGAAATCGTATAATGCACACACACACAAGGCGACGCAGCAGATGACATCAACCTATTCAGTCAGATCACAAAACCAACCATGGGCTGACAACGCATCCCTCCAACCCCGATAAAGTTTATAAGAACAACAAAACCTCCCTGACCGTGTTGTGGTGTGCGCACTTGATACATGCAGCGGCTAAAGGATTAGACTCCGATTTAATCCTACTTGACAAACTTTGCAGAGATTAGTTTGGTCGAGTGAACCCTGACTATGAAATCATCCGAGTGTTGTTGAAACACCAAAGGATTTCTCTAAATCTTTTTTATTAGTTAGAAAAACTCGCCATTCAGCCCCACACATTATTACGTATTGAACTGTTCGGAATCTATTTGACACGTTTCCTGTCTCTCTCTCTCTCGTATTTCAAAATTATAAATTGGAACAAGTCCTAGAATTAAATTACACTATTTAAGCTAAAAATGTACGCACTTATTTGTCAGAATTGGTGGTAAAAGTTTTAGTAAATGATAATGCCGAGCTGCGGTCAACTAAATAACTAACCTACATACATACATTTGTGTATGAACTAATGAACTATTCAAGGGTTTTGATTCAACAAACACAATCCAAGTTCAAGTATGGTTCATCTGTTACGGTTTCAGGCATTAGTATGTATTCAGCACAGTGCTAACTAACCCTCAAAACATGTTCAAGTGAAGGACCCTTTATATTATTATAAGGTTGGTTAATTTGCATTCTGGATTAATGTGTTTTGAACAGGCACACTTTTCACACTGGATTTGGATCAAGTACAATTTTTAGGCGGATTTGAATAAATGAGCCGTGTCTATTATTTAAAAAAAAAATGTTTTTTAAATTCAAATAAGCTTATTACACACTTGCGGAAGGGGCCTCCAATCGAAGTACATATTTATTTATAAAACATGTGAGGGTGGTCGTGCAAGTTGTTGTTGAAGGTTTTGATTCAGAAAAATCAAGTCCGTAAATATATCTGGCCACGAAGGGAAGGGGATATGCTGCATGTGTGACACTTTATGTTTTTTACAAAATAATTAAGTTGGGGTCATGTGTCTCGATTTATGCTACTACCGCACCAACTGTGCGGAGTAGAAACAAAACATTACGCAGTTGTACCTTGTAATTGCGGTTCCTCTTGTGTAAAACCGTAATGTCATATTAATTTTGTCACACTGCGCACATCCGAATGGTTCGGATGTACGAAGAATGATATAACCCAAAATTATATACAGCTAACCGAGGGACTAAAAATGAGCCTGACTTTGGGAATTATATTATGTTACAAACTGGAACAGGGTGAAGGTTGAGGTTTTAGGGCGAAGATCAACTTTTGTATCAACCAAAAATTTATAAATCAATGCATGATGATGATGATCTTTTATACGGAGGATGGCATAGAGCTCATTCCAATTGTATCACATCCGAGCATGGACCATCGCGCTTTAATATTAGTTTGTGCACTTGTACAATAACGCGACTGAGATTCGAGATACAAGATAATATCGGATGCATGCATGCATGCAAGCGTGTGTAACTACTTTCACCCCATCCCTGCATGTCCATATCTTTGAAGCATATCAGCATTTGCATGAATATTAATCATCCATGAAAGCCTTCAGTCTTCAAATCCGTTTTTACTTGTTTAATTAAAACGATCCCTTCGACTGCATGTACGTAGCTGGCTGACTCGTATTATAATGTTTCTACGTATCCATTGTGTCGCTTCCCATATTCCCCCGCTCGCCTTTGTTCAGGCTATTGTTGAAAGCAGACTGACGAATAATGCCAAGTTTTTAGGACCAAATGGCCCCACTAACAATGTCTGCATGTATTTACATGTATGTTGTTAGTGTTAGTAATAATACGTACCAACAAGCAAGCACCAGGAAGGATCGGGTACAGAGCTATTCTAATTTTATGGCTGGCAGTGTCGTATGTGGCACAGCAGACCACAACAACATGGATCACTAAACATCGAAAAGCTTATCATTCATCTTCCTTTAGGAGTAAGAGTGGACTAGGTATTTGAACTTTAAAAGCCGTATAACTGAACTCCTCAACTCTTCTTTTGAGCTATTCATCAACATCAAATTCTCCTATTTAACCAATATTCAAATGAGGTATAAACTATGTGCGCTCATCATTCATTCAAAGTCTGTGCATTCAGCTCGTGTAATTACATACTTCATTTTGACTTTGACTCATCGCACCACATTATTAGATGCGTATGCGGATGACGGAGGTATGTGTGTGTGTATGCGGTTTTATCGTCTTGTTTGTTGTGATGATAACTAATTCATCGTTGGCTGTTAGTGGTTATTGCATCTCATTTAAAATCCGTAATTCTCACCACAATTGCCAATTTCAAATGAACTCAATCACTGCCATAAAATAATCTCAAATTGACGCATCTCATAAAAGCTCTTAATGCGCATACATAAATAAATGTGGATATGACGATCGGCGAGTCTATGAACATTTTGAAGAAAAAGCAAAACAATGTGAACTCACCTGTCGTGAACAAGACGATCGCTTTGAGACAAGAGTATTCGGCTGTAAGCACAAAAAATATTACATTTCTGGATAAGCATTGGAGGAATAAGAACGATGGAAATATTCTACCCAAATACTTACAAGAGTGAAGCAATTGTATGTTTCAGAAAATGCATGGTATTATGTGCCTACTTAAATTGGGAACTTACCAGAGTCAACGTGAAGAGCTTTGAGTTTTTCGACTTGCTCTTGAAAGATTCTGATGTGGTCCATAAATGCAACGACCCTGGTATAAACATATTTATAAATATTTGTACCACCTGTATTTATATATTTTTTATTGTAATTTTATTTTATTACCTGTCCGCAGCCATAGGCCTAAATAGCAAATAAAGACAGACAATTGAGATGAGTATTTCCAGAATATTGACACAATATTAAAACTTATTCAACTGTCCAGCTACACAAAAATATTTTATACATAATTAGCTATGGATTTACTTACGCTGCATGCAGCCCGGCTGCAGCTAACAACGGAGCTACGTGAAGGGGCATAGAACACTGGGATGCGTTGAGGACAAACAGTTCGGACCAAACAAGTCTCAAGAGAGCTACTTGGTCCGTTACCTGCAAGTCTAAAATTGTCACCCACAATTAGTTGGTCACTTCCAATTAGTGAAATTAGTAAATATTTGGGTGTGAGAGTTTACCAGGAAAGAATGGAATATTTCGTGCCCATTCAACGGCGGAGAAAAGAAGTCTAGCTGCTAGTTCACCTAAGGATACACATTTTCAAAAAGTTAGATTTCCTTACGCATCTCGATATCCTTACAAATTGGAAATTAAAATCAATACTCACAAATGTTGTCGATTCCCATAATGTTGTTGGCTTGCATACACTGACCGTACCGTGATGTCTTGGGAAAGAAAGTTACATTAGCTTGATTGATTTGATTGCGTAGGTCGAATAGCAAAGAAATGCATGAACCCATTTCAAGTTAACTAAATCTTCAAAATTTATCGCTAATAATGCACCATGCTTATTAACCTTAAGCATGTAAAATTAGATGTGCTTATTTTTTTAATAGAGAACTTTTTCGTATCTAATCATACATTTCTTTGCTTGATTTGCTTGGATTCTATTATAGGTACAAATAATACGCTTATAAAAAATGGTGGTGCTTACTGGGTATGGCTCAGCTCTGAGAAGAAGGGAAATGTAGGATGACAAGTATGTCGGACCGTTGAGACCATCTCCATTTGTAAGGGCGAGTTGACCTGGGTATCCGCCCGGGCCTGGGGTTGGAGGAACACGACCCCTCTGAACGGCTAAACGACACAAAGACGCTAAAAGTTTTGTAAGATATGCAATCTAAGAATTGTTCCCCGCGTCCGCTGTTTTTCCACAAAAATTAAGGACAAACGGTAACAAATGTGTTGTGTACATTATGTTTTTTCAAAATTTGCACTCTTTACCAAGAAAATCGTCATGTGTATGCATGCATTGACCATCAGTTGCATCTGCACCTGTTATTCTACCTGTTTGTTGTGTGCTTAAAATACAAGTCATTTGCGTTGGCTCATGTTCCCAACTGCAAAAAGTGTCTCAATCTCGACCGTGCTGGATTGTTACATACAAGGATTATGCCACAGACTTGATGTGTGTCAAGTAAAACTCACAAGGTCCTTTGAACAGCGTATTAGTTAGTCCTTCCCATGTCTACTCCTCCTTGCCACACTGCTCTCAAATACAAATCTCCAAATTGTGTAACGTAATTTGAGCGCAAGAAAAAACAGGGTCCGGGAAAAGCTATGCATTTACGTATTGGATATAGAAATCCCATTTGCTCATATTCATCCACATCTCAACTCGTCGTCCGTCCGTGTGATGAATAGTTGTTGGCTTCAAACGGTGCACTGCCATGCCATACCGTACGTGTTATTACATGCATGCTTACGAAGAAGAAGAAGGAACCTTCTGGCTACAAAAAAAGGAGTAAAAAGTACGAGAAGAATTTTCAAGAGCAGTGTGGGAAAAAGAGAATGGAATTAAGCTCTCCTTCCTTCTTTCTTTCTTGACCCTCTTCTTCTTCTTCTCTCGTTTTCTTGTGAACCAAAAGTCAAACTCGAATTGTAAAGTTGAGCCAGCCAGTGCATAAAATCCTGGTTAACAACACCCTTCCCAAATTATTAATGTGGGTACAGGAATTCGAGCAGTACGCTCACATCATACGAGCGCACTGACACACACATGCATCCGTAATTGAAACACACAGTTTCAATTTAATCTCCTCCAACAACCCAACTGACCAAAGAAGAACTATCGGTTCCTGCACCACTCCAACTATTTCCAATACTACAAACTACTAATGAGTCAATGAGTACACCAGACAAAACCAAACGGTGGGAATATCTACGAGCAATATTCCAGCAGTATCGATTATATGTAATTCCATATACCTTTCAGAAAAGTATTGCATAATAAATACGCCACGCTGAATCCACCAATTGGCCTGAAGTTGCCTGACTTTTGACTATTTGACCTCGCTCAACAACTATCCACCAGTGGTGATCCCCTGGCAATAAATTGGCCAAAAATAATAGCCAGTAGAAATCAAGCATATCTATCAAGAAAGACGGAGCACAAAACTGTCGTTAGCGTTAATGGGTGTCATTCATTTAGCAAGCAAATTTTTCTCGGATAAGCCATCGTAAATGGGAGCCACCCACTGTCTCCAAGTGGAAAGCCTGCTTAATAAGTAATTTGACATATTGACTTGGGCCGAGTATTTACCACTAACAAGTCCAAGTGAATGTTGTGTTGCTGAATAATATGGTTTTCACCTGCGTATGAATGTCTGAAGCCTCAACATGCAACACTCTACTCGAGTATCTCGATACCATCTCGAAAAGCGTAATAATGAGCCAATGCATGTATGATGTAGGTATGGTTCCTCTGCCCATGCAGTATCACTCTCCCATTAAATCCCATTAAATCAAAATCGATTGGAACACAAACTGCCAGTAATCAAATTCGAAACACAATAAGGGGAGCAACCCACCAATTGATGTGACTTTTCAAGGTTTGCAAAAAAGGAGAAGCTTTTCACTTATGCATTGAAATTCGATTGGCTTATCACGCACATTGCACTCTAAATCAATGTTGAACAATACGAATGTATATTTATGCCCACCACTCTGTCGAATTAGAGTGGGCTCGTGTTATTCATACCAACGAGTGGGGTACCATAAGTCAGATAAGCGCGTAACCTTGTTTTCTGGACTTTAATGCACCGAGTTTCAAATTAGATTCTTTGGATTTGAGGTGACACAATAAAGCGTGCCAAGAGAAAAGAACGTATTTACAAGGACAGAGAGCAAAGAAAGAATGGAATGGTAAAGAATTTGTCGCATGCAAAATCCAATGGAACGAGATAATAGAGCAGTCTGACATCATCACCTTTGTTCCATTATGCTCTGCTCAACTTTGCTCTGACAAATAAACAATAACACCGACTCAGGAGACACGGTGACAAAAGGATGCTGAATCTTTCCTCGTCGTAGACACACCAGTGCAAGAGTTAAATTGTAAAAATTATTCAACTGACATCCACCTCACAATCTGTTTTGACATACAAAAGGGTGGCATTCCCAGCGATATTACTACATGAACTGCAATTTGTTTGTATTCCTTGGTTGCCAACTGTGACTTTTCAGTGCTGGACTGAAAATATTATACGAGAGTAGTGGGTTTAAAGACAAAGCTGAATGCACATAAATTTTTAACGTCATTACGCGTAAAATAATAAGAGATTGACAATTTTGACAACCGAATATTTTCGACCATGTAGTAGATTCAGTTGCTCCTTTCTTCGAAAACATTTCACCCTAAGCTTTGAAACTTTACACCGTATCAAATCATTCAAACTCATTGGTCAACCCACCACCACTCAGCATTCTACGTATTTGGAATAAATAATTGTGGAATATTTGGCAATTATCAATAGCAGTGAATCCCTTGTTTCAGTATCGCAGGCAGATACGTACGTACGTAAGCGTCATAATTAATTGCCGAGTTGACTGCAAAACTCTGCAGATTGGTTTTGGATGGTTGAATGTCAAAGTTGAATGCTTTCATTGATGGATGAGAGATGCCCATCCAAGTCTTCTGGCTGACTCTTATTTCGTTGGTTTCGCTATTAGTTACTTTTTTCTGTGCTGACTGCTAAATGGCAAAAAATGAACTGATGTGTGTTGCTCATCATTTGCCAGTGCATTTTTACTATATAAGTAAGAAGTACGAAGAAATGTGTGGAGAACACAGGAGATAATTCGTAAGGAGAGGAACTCGCTGAAAGGAATACATGTGCAATTCATTCAATCAGAAAAACCCATTTGTGTGAGTGAAGGCGAAGATACATTTATTGTGTTTGGTGCTTCATTCGTTCATAATCTCCTATTTTGTACTCGTGTTCCACCTATCTATTTTGCTCATGAGTCAATTTGTCGATTAGTTCTTGCCTCAACCAGGAATAAAAAACGAGAATTTTAAAGACAATGCGACTTGGTTGGAAGGCAATATGTTTCCAATAGAAAGAAACTGTAATACGAAGATTTATGTAATCAACAAAATGAGACTTGGCTGCTAATTCACATTTTCTATAAGCACTAATACAACGTGAACATTTAGCAAACTATTCATTGTGGTCCTGCATAACACCTGAACTTGGTGAGTGAACTTGACCATGTCAAATAATGCCACGAACGAAAAATCATTTAATCTGACCAGAGAATGAAACCAAGATGAAAATAATAGTGGGCCCTAACCAGACAGCATATGCAAAATGTGGAATAATGGATAATATGTACTGCATTTTTTTCAGTACCCCACACCAAAACTTTTTACAGAATGACAGACGATTGAAATACTAATAATTATGACTAATTAGGATGATAAATAACAAGAGACATTGTTGTGATGTTTGTTGGAACCATAAGTCCTTACTGGGCAGAAAATAAATCACCTCCGTTAATAATGTTAAGGAGTCGTCAATATGAAGCGAACAATAATAAATCTCATTTGAAAAATGTGTAATTTACACTTCAACGTTTGGCAAGGTCGGCATCTACATATCTCTTCACTTTGGACGGAAGGAAAGGCAGGGAAACACCGACACCACTCGTTGTCAGACACTTCATTTTCTATATCAGTTCTTCAATATCACTTCAATTGCTTATTTATGAAAGATATTGTTGGACGAGCTACGCCCGACGCCTAAAGCAATCTAATTTCTGAGCTGGTTTAAATGCTTGATTGATACGTTGCCGTGTCTGTGACATAAGTTTGTGCGGTCTGTAAAAGTAAAACTTTGCTGTTTGTGAATATCACGACCTTGTTGGAACCTTTAAATTTGTACTAAATTGAATATTACGCGACGCTAACTATATGTATGTAGCTGAGTAATTTGTATGCACTTCTTACGTATTAGTTGTAGTGAAAATTAGTTTCCTATAAAACTAATTGATGGCCCACAAATTCCAACTCGTGATTTACTTAAACTTGATGCAAAGAGAACAAAACTTTTTTTAAATGGATTGTGCATGATTTTAGAATTTCAGAAGCCATAAGGTGCTCGTGACGGACCTTGTGTCTCTGGTTAATTTTACGTACCCATTGTTCTTTTCAGTTTGACAGTACTGGTAAAATCTATGATGACGACGACGATGATGATGATGATGATATAATTGGATAAAATAAATAGAAGCTGGGCACTTTGTATCTCAATTTGCAATTATTAGATGACATGACATAAGCATTTCACTCATTCCACCTTCGTCAGTAATAAGAAGGAGAAATACTTGTGATTTCGCTTGCAAAATTAGCCGACTGGTTTCAAAGGTGCGAAGCCATCAACAACAACATCAGATGTAAGACCGGCATGAATAGACTCTAATTGTAGATTGATAAAAATATGTTAAAACTAATGATTGTCTTTTTTGTCACAAACGGGATGACTTTATATAATTTTTGACATTGACACCTGTTCTCAATGTGCATTTGATGTTCGTATTTGAACATTATAATTACGACTTCATCAGAGCTTTTGTGAAAAACTAAGAGTCATTCTACTAACTTGGGGTTGGCTTCTGACTCACTAATAATTTCCAGAGACCTGTAGTTGTATTTGACTCTGTATATTATTTTTTCACAGATTTATCATTCTCTGTGCATCTAAAAATGTGCCATGTAAATATGTAGCTAGTAAATTATAAACTACAATTACAATTATGATGAAGTCGTCTTCCTTAATTAGATACAAGGTCAAATTGAAAAAAGCTTAGAATCTTGCTATTATTCCTTCAATTGTGTAGAGCGACATTTGATGATTTTGATATACCAAAATACTTGATGCTGGACATACATTTATACATTGTGTGGCTGGATGTGTGGCAGTGGAATAACGATGATGATGAATTCGTGACTTGGTCAAAGTGTATTCATACGTGTCAGAGTAATAAATGATATAAATATATGTACGTATGTACATGCATATAAATCCGTCTTTTAGACTCGGACACGATTTCTTGTGTGCTTGAAAAGTTCAAAAATACAAATACGGTCTTCAAAACTGCTATCTGAAACACAAATTGAAATTCTCAATTGAGGATGATTGTCGAAAAATATCTTGCATACTTTTACACGGTTTGTCCTGGTCACAAGAATCCGTGGGTTCAAAGGAGTGAATGGTATGGTTTCAACCTGGAGATTTACCCTATGGAGCTTATGCCCAAGATGTGCAACTGACAAGACATATACTCATCGCGGTACTTGATTTTTCCTCGTGTTTTTGCCCCTCAGCCATCATCGTAGACATAAAGTAACATGTTGGAGTTTAAAAAGTTTCATCTCATCGGGGTCGATTGGAAAAGTAATAATAAACTATCATCACAAAGGAAGATTACACGATGGTGTGGTGTGGCATTGGTCGAGGGTTACAGAAAAACGCTGACAATCAGTCTGACTAACTTGAGCTGCGCTCTCCACGTATATTGGATTATTCGTCTCGTCGTTGATTCTCCCAGTTCCTTATTCTTCGCGAGTCCCTTGTCATGCATGAGTTTACGTTTGAAAGGGCCAGGAAGGAAATAATGGGAGAGGAGACGATGAGACGAGGTGTTTGGAGATACACGATTCAAGAAGCCCTTTTCCTCACCTTCGCATTATCATCCTCTCTCACCTTCTCATCTCTTTGGAAAATCTCTCAACTCATCCTTCTCCATCTTCATCATCATCCTCATCATCATCCCATCATCCCCGTTCCTCAAATACGCAGCGCTTATGCATCCACCTTGCACAACACAATCCACGCTAACAACCAAGTAGGAATTCATAAATGAATCTACCACAGAATAGAAACGTAAAAAATGTCCACCTTAATAATACCTGTCGGCTTTTCTAAAAACTCTTCTCCTAGTGACTGACAAAAGTAAGTCTCAGTCTCGCTCTACCTTTGGCTTTGCTCCTTTCTTCTGGGGTAACCTTCAAAAATTCCATTAGCATCTGAATTAGACGTAATTCAGCCTCATCATAAGAATGTGACCAGCCGCATCCAGCCAGACAGGAGGAATGAGACTCATCTCGCCGTATGCTTATGCCATGATTCAGCCATTCTGATAGTATTAAAATGCGATAAATATACGAAATATGACCATCAGCTTCTAATAAGTATGTGAAATTGGAAGAGTGCAAAAATTGAACGTAATGTATACAACATGGAAAATAAACATATTATGTGCACATGTATTGTATATTACATAATATAATGTTATGTACTGTAAATCCTGATTGGGTTGTACGTACATATTGTAATTTGAATTCTTAGGAAAATAATCCTCGAATCATTAAAGAAGCTGCATAGATAATAGTGAAGAAATGCAAATAACTTCATCAACAGGTTATTTAAAAGTGGATAGAGGCAAATTAGACTAAATTTTCAAATCAGCGCCTCTGTTTTAATGACGTTTTGCAAGTGCTTGAGGAAAAAAAGCCACCTAACTTACCCGTCCGTTGCATTCCCATTTTGAGGCACTTCTTCAGTCGACAATATTGACATTGATTACGGTGGTGTTGATCAATTGGACAGTTTCGATTTCCTCGACATGAGTAGGTCAAGTTTCTCCGCACACTTCTTTTGAAAAAGCTTTTGCAACCTGAAATTAAAATTTCCAATCATGTATATTTTTTAGACTTATGACAAACTCTTAATTTTATGAATAACATTTTAAAAGTGCACATATTTTAGTTGAGTGACTTGAGCGAAACAAGTCACCACGAGTTGACATTTTATGGATAGGATGGTAAATTGTTACTTGCAGAGGGTTGTAAAAAACGAGGACAGTTTTTACTGCCTGGAGTTATGGAACCAAATATGTGAAGGGAATGTCAAAGCGAAGAGAGTCGCAGTGATTGCCACAAGATGATTGTAATAAGTATCTTGGAGTTCATTGTGGGGCTGTGCGACAATTGAGATCAAATGAACAGGTAGTCGAGTGGTAGCAGTAAGGTTAGCATGGAGTGAAATGATAATATCGTATCATTACTTCACCCCTTTCGTTTCGCTTTGCCCTTCCATGCGATCCCATTCACTCCACAATATTAACCGAGTTGTATGGATTATGATCCACAACTCATCTAATCTCGATCCTAATAGGCATGGGAATTCATCCACCTTTTTACAAGTCAAGAACTATTCCTAGCAAAAAAGTGTATCCATCCATCTATCGTGCGTGCTTCGTTCGAAGGTAAAAGTAAAAAAGAAGAAGATTCCACAGACCATGCAAGGCACAAGGCATCGTTCATATTCATATAACTCCCAACCACTTACTGCGTATGTAAAAATCGCAAATTCCGATATATTGATTATCTTGTCTCAGCGAGCTTAGATGTTTAGATATTTCGTACATATTTCATTTCTGCGCCAGTTAAATCCAAGTCTTTTTTGAGAGATTGTCTCAATCTTTAGTGAAGACAGGGACGGGAGGACTCATTTAAAAATCAAGAATTCGTGCAGGTATACATAAACCACCTGTGCTGTGCAGTAAAGGTAATAGGAGAGATGTCTAGGCAAAAAAGTATCAACAAGCTCGTCAAGTCAAGTCGAGTCAAGTAATCATTATGTGAAATTGTACCATTTTATTTCATTTCATGAGAGAAATGCAAACAGAGGACGAGTGTTGGTGGAGTTGATCCTCTGAAAGAAATAAAGGTACGAGAAGGGTCATTACTCCATTCTGCGTATCTCACTGACTGACATTGACTTGGTGGACTACACTTCTTTGCTCAAACAACAAAAGCTATAATCACGGTCCTTCCAAAGAACATAAATGCATAATGGTCGGATGATAGTGATAGTAATAGAAAACATGACTAATGGGCTGGTTGGATGAGCTCTGCTCTTGCCTTATTACACAGTTCGAATAGGTCGGTCTGGCTTATTTAGTAAATCACAAATTCAAGTAACAAGAGAAATTCAAATATTTATCCTATCTTCAAAGAAAAGGATTGCTACGGATGGGAAGAATCTTTGAGATTTAAGGAAAAATTATTTTTAAAACGCCAAAGAATTTGTAAAATTGTAAAAATCATTACAAACAATTGCGTATAGATTTTTGAGATGAAATCTGTGTATAGATTTTTATTATCTCTACGACCTGCTTCCTTTGAAGAGCTATAACTCATCATACATACGTAGTCAGCAGAAATGGAATAAAAATGACATATGTTATGTTTTGATAACAGTTGCAGCTCGATTTTTCCACAATGCTCACCATCAACCACTAATTCCTTATAATATATGTCGGTATTCACAGAATGACCATTGTTGGGCAATAATAAGGAGTATACACATTTGGGTAGCGACTATCTAGTTGTGGGAGAGTACAAAATAGTCACAAGAAGTCGTTAATCATTGAATCATCGATATTCAGCACCATTCAGCAGAAGTCATAGTAAAGGAGTCAAATTAAATGCAAACAAAAGTACTAAGCACACATATCGCATTCGGAATGTTTAACTAACCTTTAACAGGTGTTAACTAAGACTAAGCAAGCAACTAATCCTGTCCTGAGGCAGATAGAAACATATATAACACGTTCATACGAGTTGTATGTAAAGGAAACGCACATGTTGCATATTATACTTGTGTACATACATGCACTCTGATTTAAATCTACGACAGGTGTGTAAAAAGAGGCCCTTGATTTGTTGGTCGATCAGCGCAGAAGCCACTAATTAGCTGGACAGCCGGTGTTTAAATATAATATTTTAGGATGTATGTTTCCAATAATTTGCCCCTTGTGTAGATTATCAAGAGGTGTCAGCAATCAAGGCATTCACGTAATGTGTACCTTGAAGGTGTTCTAATAAATAGGAAACGGAAGCAGCAACTGCGTGGGGAGGAGGAGGCAACACGAGCCAACACTTCCTACACAATACTTGTTGACTTATTACTCAACACACTTTATTAATCAACCTTTCACCGTGATTTTTTTTGTCATTTCAGACTTGCCAAGCAAGCATCAACATTTTTCAAAGAATTAGTTACACAACTGTACTCAGTAGCTATAGGTTGTGAAGCCAATGGACAAAGTTTTTTTTAATTTATAGCCACAATGCAAGCTGCAAAAAGGTTCTCAGGAAATTACTATTTGAATATGCCACTTGGTTGGTGTTCCGTTCCATGAACAATTAGAATTTAAGAATTCAAGCTTTTATTATTATTCCCTTATTGCTTGCTCTCGGAAAGAGTTGAGTTATGTACACAAAAGTGTCAACAGTTAAACTCTCACCTGCAGGTGGTAAAAACTGTTTTGAGCCTTCTTGACTTTGAAATAATGATAATGCAGAGTAATGAAATAATGCAAATAATAAGTGAACAAGTTGCCCAGCTCATAGAAATTCATAGCAAAGTAAAAAACGACGAATATATGTATAGTATACATAATATATATTATATTCATACGTAAGTACATAATCTGCTGCTAGAAATACGTGGTGTCATAATGTTGACTGTTGGTTATCTCATTTGTTCAACTCACCTCCACCATCAGCACGGTTGAGTGAGTTGTATGTCAAATTTGCAGTTGTTGAAAAAGAAGAAAAATTGAACTCGGCTCAACTTTTCCGTTGCATTGAAGGGAAACTAATTTAATATTTCAGCGCACAAGACCAAGCTTTCCTAGCAGTGTCACCACCGCAAGTCAATTTTACACCCTCGACATGGGAGTGTACCCACACACATAATTTTTTATCTTATTCTCGCAAAACTTTTTTTGTCACTTTGAACGAAATTTGAACTATGATTTGCTTACTTTTTCCTTTTCTTGCTTATTTAGCTCAATGTGTGTTTAGGCTTCAACAAGGCCTTGCATGACGAAACTTGGACAATAGAAATGCCAGCTATATATACATTCATATATAGAAATTAAGCAGATTCCAGCTCAACCAACGACAACCTTCCGTATTCATAAGAAGCTTGCTCGTGTTGTTATTCTTTCCTTGTGAAAATGACAGAAATTCACTTTGCAAATCTAATCGCCCTTCAGCCAGGAAATAATAATGTGATTAGAGAGGATTTGGTAAACTGTAGGATTAGCAAACAAAATAATCAAATTGAACTCTGCAGAATGAAGCAAATTGTTCAGAAAAGGGTTAGTTGTGAACTGCCATCCAGAGAAGTTGACGTCAGCCTCACGCTGAATTTCATCTTCATCTCCTGCGATCACCAACACCAAGAGAATTATCTTTTATATCAACAGTCAAGCGTCACAGCAGAAGTGTCTCCCCATGAAATACCAGTCTGACTCTTATCTTGGGTCCATTATAATTCAATCTGTTAAACCAAATCCGAACATGCCATCGCCGTGCCCATCCTCAGAGAGCGGACAACGTGCAGCAATTCTAGACAAATATGTAGAGCTTTTTACAATAAATTCTTAAAATTGCATAACGTATGTAATTGATTTGCCCCCACCTCTCGTTCCCCACTGTCACCCAACATATCGAATCAACTGTAACAACTCTTCATTGGTCAACATGCATGCATAAGGAGATGTATACCTTTTGCATCTATGAATAAATATTTAATGCGTCCATTGTTGATTTACAAATGAATCTCATCATGTCTGCATAATAAAATATCTTGAATGCTTTTGTGTTGATTTATCAGACTCGCTTTATTGTTTTAAAGTCTGCTATTCGATGCGAACAGGCCAGCTCAGTGAATATGTGCCACCGTACTAAATTGACGCAATTCATTATACGTAGTTGATGTAACGTACTTTTAGTAGTTGCTGGTTTAGTGCGTTTTAGCCATTTACGAAAGAAAAACTGTTTGATTTCATGTACAAGTCCGAAATTCCTGTTCCGTTAACCGTTTAACTCGTGAGCATGCATGATGACGCGGTGGGCGAGTTGTGAGCCATGTCCAAATTGCCACTTTGCCCAATTGTCAATCGTAATGAACTATATGATGGATGCACTCGTCTTCTCTCGAGAATAGTTCCTATGCAGTTGGTGAATATGAGCATCAAAAATTAAGCAGATGTCTTGCCATCGGTGCTGAGGAACTATTGACTCGGATGTATTTCAGCATTAGTTATGCCATCTCAAAAAAGTAATGTTGTATCGCCACCACACACACACAAGCGCATCTCTCACTCACAGTTGAAATTAAACACGAATAAAAATAATGACACGACGAGTCCGCGCTTTGAAGAGGTGCATTCAACCTTTGCATGGATATAATAATATGCTACTTGTTACATGCCAACTTAAGTAACAATGGCACAAGACAAGATATTCAATACTGCTGTAAAAACATTTTTACTGCCACTTACTGACTCCCTTTATATTTTGTAGTCAGTTTTCGAGAGGCGATATTAATCTTGCTACGCATTCCTGCACGAATAGAAATTTTGCGAATGGAATGACAAACACGTACGTAGTGATGTGATATAATAATTGTCCATCTGAGCGATCACCGACATATGTACCAATAAATAAATAATCGCTACGCACACATGTGACTAACGACAACATGATACACGACAAATAGTCAAGCTGGAAGTGTTATCTCAGATAATCTCGTGTGTGAATTGTATGCCTTCTTGCTAAGGAGACACATAGGTGTAAGTACACATGTAGAAAGCAGGAGGTAAAGCTAGTGATTATATTGTTGAAATATTTAATGGAACCAAGTCCTGGTCCTGAATCCCGAGGCGCAGTCCCACACGGTAATTTTCTTGTGCTCCCTTGTCGTTCTCAAGCAATAATGATGGTGTTGTGCATGCAGGGCCGAGGGCATGTCACGATGCGTGTCTTTAGGCCCTTAGGGGAGTCCGATCTTGATTGCGCATATATCTCACTAACCACAATAACACAAACCAACCCAACTTCATCCTCAGCATGGGAACTACCCGGAGGACTAAAACTGCTCACTCAAGATATGTAAGTACAACGCACCACCTTTTACAGCAACAAATAATCAAGAAATCTCAACATTAAGTGGGCATTTAGTGGTATTTCTGTGTACCCAGTAAAACTCAGATCTCCACGACGTACCGTTGTCCAGAATTTTGTTTTTACATGCAGTGATGAATGTCGAGGTAATATTTTATGTAACAACAAGTACGTATCCGTAATATATGTAAGTGAAAGCATCTAAAAGTACCCCGAAGTACGTACATAACTCCATTTCATCATCGTTGTAAGAAATCCAGACCAAACCAGGATGCGCAAATTTAATGAGGTTGTTTGTACCTCATAATTACCTGCACAGTTCACGGGATCGATTTTTGAGTCATGTATATTTATTGAAACAAGACCTACCCAAATAGTTAGCTACCGCCTCTGGAACTGGTTTTAAATTACTGACCTGGATTAACCAGAAGTTCTCACTTCCACTTTTCCAAAGTCAGAAGCATGTCGACCAACTTTAATAACCAACCAACCAACCCATCTCCAGTGATTATTGAAGCTACTTGATGAACCGATATTTTCCTGCACATAAGTCAATGCAAGTTCGTCTTCTGACTATTTTCCTACAGGCGTTTTACATATCTTTGTATATAAATTTTGAGGAGTGACACCTCCGTGAAAAAGCGTTTACTAGGTTTATTTTTGGAATTTTTGTACATTTAATTAAAATCATTGGAATATTTGTTGTTTATAGTTTTAAAATAAGAGTATTCCCATTAATGACGATAATATGCAATTACGTTTACGTCTCGTTTAGGATTTGTTGGATTCTAATATCCAGAAAATATTCTGATCCGGAAAATACATGCCTCTTGTTTAGAAACAATATTTTAATAGCAATGTGAATTTTTAAGAAAATATTAAATTATTCTGTTTCAGTCCAGTTTCTAAGAAAAGCAAAAATAAATGTGACAAAGGGGTTGAAAATGATTTAGTAATTGTAACATTTCGCAGTTAGCAAACCTACATTTAAAAATTTTCGTAACTTTGCCTCTCTTGAGCTGTGTCAAAATTTCAAAAGAGACAATACGAAAAATATTCAGGGGACACTCAAATGTGATTTCAAGATCGGATCATATTATATAATTTTTAAAAACTTTTTCAGGCAGTCAGCAAATTACACCAAACGACGGGTCAATTTTAACCCTGGATATTTAAGTATTATGCATAGGATAGTCATAAAATAATTATAGTCCAAATTATTTTTTTCTAAACCAAATGAAATGAAGGCAATCGCTGTTTAAGTGGAATGCATTTCAAATGTCTCTACTGCTTTTTAGAGTTCTTGTAAAACCATGTACTTTTGAATCTTCATATATATATAAAGAATTAAAGAAACGTACCTTCACAAGTCGAAACTCCATAACTGTTGATGGAAAGTAAAAATAAAATTGCAATTAGATTAAATTGTATTATAATGCAAATTTGCAATGTAATGCAATGTCAATAAAGGTTCTAAAGATATTTCAGATATTTGTAATTCGACTCAATGGTAAATGTGTATGAATATAATAACAGAATACATAATTTCAACACTAATTCATGACGACCTTGTTTGGACCATTAATTTACTACTTATGTATGTATGCACATGTATGAGAATAAATGTAAAAAAAATTACTGTTTTCCGCTTGATTTGTCTCCACATACGACGCACTCGATATTCTGCCCCTTGTCCGCCGAGTTGGGCGAGGCTGCAGAGGAGGCAGAAGAGGTGGGTTGGGGTGGATGTGTCGTTTGTCCCAAGCCTGGGAGCCCATTGGAGCCGTTCATATCATCGTTGGGACTTGTGGGAGTCATGGATGAGAGTCCGTTCGAGGGATGATGTTCGGACCTCCATCCAGAGGCCAGCATCACATCCGGACTGAGGAGGACTCCAGGGTTGGGGAGAACCCCAGAACTTGGGACCAACACCTTGTTGCCGGAGGCCGGAGGCCCAAACCCTTGATGATGTGGGGGTCCTTCCGACGACCACGAAGGCAGGTCGAATTTAATTGGGATCGGCGTCCTGATTTTTGCAGAGGTTGATGTGGGAAAGTGGTGGTGATGGTGGTGGTGGTGACCAGGTTGCGAGGAGGGGTGGTGATAATAGGTTCCCGAGTAGTTATCAATTGCTGCAGGTGGTGACGTGCTGGAAGATGGTACTCTGGAGAACAGGGGGCTGTTGTTGTTGTTTTGCACGTCTTCGGGCCTACTCCTCCTCCCCCAGAATAGGCCCACTGGGGATGGATCTAAATTAACTATTTTGCTAATCGTTGCAAATGACGGTGTGAAAATCCTATCGTCACTCTCCTCCGGACGTCTTGATACTCTTCGTCAGGTAGTTTTTTTTTATATAATTCGAGTCAGATTTCAGTCACAAGGATCAAATGTGTTATCTTTATGACTCTCTGTTTTCCTTAGATCGGGTTGTTGAGAATTATTATTATTATGTTCATTAATATCATTTATGTGCGTGGAATGGTTGTTGGAGTCAAATTTGTTACTGGAACGTAATAATTATTATTGTTATTCATGCGAAGTAGAGACATATTTGTACGGTATGATGAGTAACTTGAGACTTTTATTGATATTTATGCACGTTTGTGCAAATGTCAACAATTCTTTATGGTTCCGTGATGTGTCTACAATTGCGTCTCACATTTAACAGCTTGACACTTAATTACGACATAAAATGTCCATTGAACTTTTACACTCGTCTCCGAAAGATGAAAATATGAGATACGTTGCTTTTTTTCTCGAGTCAAATTTCCGGATTCGTATAAACAGTTCTATTGACGCATTTCCAACTTAATTCATTATCCGTCTCATGAATGAACAAAGACGTAGCAAAATACTTTCCGTATCAAATTACCCCTCAAAAGAGGTATTTGATAGCAGACTCGTCAGTGAAAGTCGCATATTAGCACGAAGAAGTGTTTTACATATACACGCACTGCACTCAATTACAACTTCTGTAACAGTTCAAGTTCAAGACAACAACCGCCTACCGTCAATAATTATCGATATAATTGAAGAGAGCTTGTTATTATTATTATTGAGTGTGGTCATGATGCCAACAAACGGTGAGCCTTCGACCTTTCTCTCTCTCTGTGTGTTTGTCTATTTCAGGTCAACAGGGCAGTCTGAAACTCGTGAATATGAAAGTCAAGACCAAGTTCACGAACTGAACTCTGACACTGGAATCCTGCCGCCACTCCTGCTGCAGATTGGGAGCGGAATAGGTGGTGGGTTAGCAGTGATGTTGCCTATGACGAGAGGTCAGAGTGCACGTCGACCAAGAAGAGGTCACCAGCACAGGTCGAGTGAAGTGGTGAGGAGCAGCGGTATCACTGGAGAGAGCGAGCGAGAGGTGAAATGGTGCAACCAGGGGCATCTCAAGCACACGACTGTCCGACCTCAGAGTTACACGGTTACGACTTCTCTCCTCCAGGCCAAAGCAGAGCTACCAGAGTTAAGTTGAGCAGTGATCATGCATCCATCAGTACGGCAGATACTAGGACGACGACGACATATAGAGGAGAAGAGAGATTTTGGTGAGAAGTGTGGTAGTTGCCGCATTATTACGTATATATACGCCATGTACACATACACATAAAATAATAGTGAGAAGGCAAGGGGGCTCAAAAGCCAAAGCCAAAGTGTGTCTCCTCAACGCAATGCGAGGGTAGAAAAAGGTAGCCTTTAACCAAAGCCCTATGCCCCTACTGCCACCACCAGCTACTTCTGGTTGGCTCCTTCTTCTTCCAATCCAAGCTATGTCTTTCCAAATCTTGCCAAATGCTCATCTTCAACTGACTCAACCCTTTTCTCAACACCGTTTTACTGGCTTCTTCGTCTCCGCAGTCTTGGGCACAGTGCATCCAACGAGGACAGCCAGGCGTCCTCATAACTTCTTCTTCATGGTGGTCCCACATGTCACATTATAAAACAGGATGATGGCTTGTGTGGGGAAAGCAGCGAGTGACCAGCGGGCGAGACTGGGCACAAGTTTGGCACTGGAGAAAGTTACGACGGACAAAGTGGTGGACGGGATGAGTCGTCGAGGAGGTTGAGTCCACGATCTCTTGACACGCTCCACAGATTGATGTGCCAGAGGTGGTCACCGGGTTCATTGGGTGTCAAGAAGCCAATGGCAGAGTGCGAGGGTGGAGCACTCCCGAGAAATCGGAGAAACGGGCATGCCGCGGCTGCGTCCCTTTCACCAACTAACTCCAAAAAGTTCCTTTCTCCACTGTTATTCGGACTATCTCTCGATCCCAATCCGCTCCTCACCATTCGGAGGAAACCCGGCACCCAGACTCATCACAACAACTCGACAACTCATCGGCCAACCGTCTTCAAAAATATCCAGCAATTTTATTTATATAAACAACTCGATGTTTCATCACAGAGCTGAGTTGAGAATTTTATGTTTTTCGTCTTGTTACGACCAGTGAATGTTAACGCACATACAGTCATCGCCTGTACATACACATTTAGGAATGGGCGATGAGAGTGCATCAAAATAACTAAATATACATATAACTCTCTGTCGTTTTATTATTTAGATTGAGCAACAGGGTCAAAGTTCAGGTTGATAAAAACAGACTCGCACCACATGCATGCAAACTACTGACGACGGGATTACATTTACAAACATCGTGATAAACGTGTGCAATTTTTTATATGAGGCAAACTTGTCTGAAATAAATAGAACCGTGTTATGTAGCATTCTTTTTAATGTATGCAGTTAGACTAGATCAATCTCTTGGTCTATTGTGGACATTATTCGTATGGATCAAGTTGATAAATTGCTTGGTTGTTGGAATATTTTACTTTCTACTAGGGAAATATGCCATCTAATTTTCTGCAGAAAATGTATAAGGCTGCCGCCATGTATCTACAACTTTGGCACCAATATGACATTTGTGACCAATGTACATATGCAATGATACAGCACATGAGGATTATGGTTCAATGAAACAAATGGAGGCACTTAATCAAAGCCAAGGCACATACATAACTGCATCAAGTTGCGACCAAAGTAATTATACCACCACCAGGCCGCCTCAATTTTATTACTCAATTGACTTGCATCCCCATTCTCGTACAAAAGTATAAATTATTGGCTTCCCACCCTTCTCGCCTTGATTCGCTCTCTCTCTCTCTTTATGTAAATCCACCTTCAATAATCGTCACCGGGTTCTAGTTACAGATTTCCGGAATGATTGTGAATCCGTTTCCGTGAATCTGGTTTACCAAAACCATTTCAAATGATGTGGACCAAATGTGCAACATATGTTTTAAGCCATGTATGGGCAACAAAGCATTCAGATGTGGGCTTGCTTGTTATGAACTTATGAACACCACCAGTTTAGTGTAATTTACTTATTATTGCATTTTTGATGAAAAACCAAGTCATACAACATGTGTGCACGTCCATATTTGTTAAGAAGTCATGAAAAAGTAAACTAAACTAAACCAGAGCAATTCGGAAATTAATTGGTATATCGGTTAGAATTCGTAGTACCTAATTATTAGCATTATTACGATATCCAGTGTGAAATGAGAGTTGAATTCAACATTTCAGTATCCGATGCGTACGTATTTAAGGTTTGAAACCTGCATATGTGCATCAAGTACCTGATTCTCTGTGTACGTTTGTCGGAAGATGATAATTATTATCCTGCATCTTCTTTCATTGAAACAGCGTTCATTATGTTATTCTTTCTTATTCAAAAGTATGAGTTATGGAGAAATGCAAACAATAGGACATTAATCATCCGAGTTAAACTTTTGAGGAGTACGCATGTATGTATGTGTGCATGTACTGGTATATGTACATATATGCAAGATATGTATACTTGCACATACTTAAGCTTTTTGATGTGCCTTGAAGAGCAAGATTGGGACAGAGTTCGTCCCCCGTTTTAATTGGCCTCTGTGTGCTTTTTCTCCTGTCCAAAGTGGCTTTGTCATTCCAATGCAAAAGCCATCATGAGAATAATTACATGTGTCTGTTTTAAAGCTCTTTGTGCTATTGTGTCAAATCGACATTTTTGTCTGCAATTACAACCACCCTTCAGGTCATTTACCTACGAACACAGTGGCAAGCTTAATATCACACCGGTCGCGTATCAGATGCTGCGGAATTGAAATTTCACATGGACGGTGAAGAGAAACGTCTTTCTCCAACCATACATAAGATAAATTCATAGCACATACGAGACTTCTTTACTACGTACTTATGTAACACAGTCCGGATTTAAATTCTGAAATGGATTGGTTAGAATTTATTATTAATTGGAAATAATTCATTAGAGTAATCTGATGTTAGATACATGAATTGTAAATCGAGGCGATTAATGACTAAGATCTTTTATGCTCTACCCGAATTAATGACGACGGAGATTGGAAACTGAGACAGTGCATTACATTAGCGACCATGCACCTTTGTTATCCCGGTGGCATTCACTGGGGGTCCAGTTCCAACCAAGAGTTCAATTCAAGCAGCAAGAGGAGATGCCTCCTTGCAACAAGAGGGAGATTATATTCTACCTTTTGAACTTAATGAACAATGAGTGTAACCTGTGAGTTAATTAGTTAGTTGTGCGGAACTGAACCATTCTGGGATGATATGATACCACCGTGAGGTAATTAATCATCGCGTCTCTTCTTCAACCGATGGACGGGTTATTCCTTCTTGATCATGATTTGGATTTTAATCTCACACAGTCAGAATATTAGAGCCATCCAACAACTGACTTTGTAAAACACCGTTTTGTTCCCTCAAAAGAATGGTGATCGTCATCACGCTACTGCTGCGGCATTCTGCTTTCTTTCCAGGAAAGCGTCTTTATCATTAGTGGAGCTTTTGGAAAATTAGATACTTTATTGTCCCCACCAGTCACCCGTAATCTGCTCACAGCCCCACTTTTTTGGAATTTAACCAATGCTAGAAATGAGACTTGAAAAACTCGATAGAATTACTGAATTCCGTTGCAGGGCGTTGCGTTTGTACAAATATGCAAGTTCAGTAAGTGGCTGTTAAAGTGCAGGAAAGATTTACATTCGAAATATACTTCAGAATTTATTTACTAATTTCATTCTTTCAAATTCCAATGGCAGAGTAGGGAAAGGATTACGTTAATTCCACAAAATTGGCCGTAGAATTTTATTCTTTGGAACTGGATGAGCAACTCGTCCGACTACTTTGAGAACTAGTGAATGATCGGAGAAGAAGTCATCAAATAGTTTTTTAAAAGTTGAGATTGCTTGTACACTCTTCGCCAACCAAGACTAAATAAAATGCATACCCAAGTTGGAGTTAATCCGCCTTTGTTATTCTTGTTAATTAGAAATGCCGCATATCATCAGCCTGCAGATAAACTAAATACATACAGACGAAGTAAATTTTATTATCTCTCAACTTTTAGAATTTGCATATTTATTTAGTATATATGCTGGCTTATATTCTATAGATGATAATATGGGGAGTATTTTCATGGATTATTTCATTCTGCAGTGACGATATTCCTAACTCGCAATTCTGTGCGGTTCATATTTTCAAAATCAACAAAACAGCATTACTAATCAATACCTCATATTTGACGTGCTTCTGTGCAACCGTATTTTTTATACATATATATTTCTGATCCTTTGTTGATGCTAGTCGAAGAAAATAAACTTTGACAAGTTTTATTTCCGACTCTAAACAAGTAGGTAATCCTTTCGTCGTCCGGACAAACAAACCAATAAGTGAACCGAAGCTTGATAATGAGTAAAAGGATCCAGCTTCTTTCCCCAGTGTTTCATTTCCCAAAAGAAAGTTGAGGAGGACATGAAATAATAAACTGACAAATGTAGAAGAAGAGGAGAAAGTTTCTCCTCTGAGATTTGATCTGATCAGATGAAAGAACTTGTTCCTTCCTCATTTGGAGCTCTCCATCTGCCTCTTCCTGGTATACGTGGCGCAAGGCCATGTGATTTATTGTGCGAGCATCTCCTCTTTCTTTGACGATTACTGATTGCACAAGTATCCACATCATCCGCACCAAAAAGTATCATGATGTTGATGACATGACTTTTCTTTGTGGCAACCAGACGACCAGCAACCCCACGTTATGCGGTTGCAGGTTTGGGAAGTGGTGATGGTGAATTGAATGTGCTCTCCGCTTTTTCATCTCTCAGCATCATCTCATCAATAAAAGGATGAGAGCTGAGAAGAGTTTTATAGTTGGCAAGCCAGCTATATGCTCATGGAATCGTGGTGGCGGCGGTGGTGAGTACGGTGGTGCAGTGTGCTATGCTAATTAACCAAGAGTAATTAGTGCGACTTAATGGGATATTTGAGCTCAGGCTGGGCAGATGAGTCTCTTTTCCTCTTCAGCAAATATACCATCCAGCAAGTCTGTGTAATTATGAGATTCAGCCACACCAACCAACCAACCACCGCACTGCCGACCAGATCGCATCCCAGCAGATAATGTACACATATCATCAACCCTTTCTTCTCACTGCTCTCTTCTCTCATCGTCAGCTCCTCTTCTTTGTCGAAAGCCAAGCTGTGTGTTGATCAACGTCGTCTTCACTTACAAACCGTTCCTTCATCATCCGATCTACCTCAGGGTGCATAAACTTTTTTGTTGTCCGTGGTTTCTCCTAAGGGGGTGGTGCCAGGATGAAAATTTTTATTCAAAAATTAAAAGTTGGGGAATTGCATTCGATTTTGCAGTGGATTTGGGTGGTTGTCATGGCAAAAGTGCATGCAATTCCCCAACTTTTAATTTTTGAATACAAATTTTCATCCTGGCACCACCCCCTTAGGAGAAACCACGGACAACAAAAAAGTTTATGCACCCTGGATCTACCTTAAAAACCCGAGTTTAATTCTGTTCTCCTCTCGTGTCTTGTACATTCTAAATTAATACGTATAAACTCTATAAATACACACGCCCTTATTGTAACAAAGGCGAGCGCTATATGCGCCTACACTGGAGTACGATAATTACAACTTTATTCTCAAATTAAAATCTGTCCACCTCTTTCAGCTCCAGTGAAGTATCATGACGAACATTCCCTACCGGCCGAATGAATTAGAGTTCTGACTCTTAATTCAAACCGGATGTTTGTCAGGGATGGTGAAAGCTTTTGTCAGAGTGATGAAGATAAAATTACTGGAATTTATTGTCAATTAATTAGCGTGACATTTTGTAATGTAAAACGGATTTAACTTGAAAACTGTAACACATTGAAAAATTACAATTGTGAGATTCAATAAATAAGTGGGTAATTTTATTACGTACAATCGCAGTGCAGTTGGAAAGTCTTTCTAATCACTCAATCATTCATAATGTCGCTGTGGAAGGGAAAAGGTCGATCAGACTCTCCTGGAGAGTCTGGAGGGGGCATCCTGTGCTTCTCAATATAAATTTCCTTTACTATACGCTACATTGTCAGCTAATCTCAATTATCTAACTTACTAGGCAGAAGATACATACGCTTAACATTATGCTTAGTTAAATGACTCCTGAATTTCCCTAAATTTTTAACCATACAGCGAATGAATTAAACTTTATCCAATTCAATCACTTTCTGTTGGAAGCAGGAAAATACTCGGTTGTGAAACGAAATGTTAGTTCAACTGGTGACTGTGTCAAGAGATGATGTGACTTTAAGCATTTTGACCAGTTAAGAACCACTGCGGAAAAGTGATTCAATGACCCATGAATCACAGACAAATAACCTTCACAATGTTCACAAGGAAAGATGCAGAGATTGTAAAATAAAATAAAAAAAACAACCCGGGAGCTTTGCATCATCGTTGGAGCACTAATTGGAAATGCAGGTATCCTCACGACCCGACATATACGTAGTGGTTTCTATTCATGGTGGCTGATTATGTTTCAGATTTATCCAATGGACGGATCCAACTGGGTCTTTGTAAAGAGATAATAATCATCTTACTTACCAAAGTCAGATCAAACAAGGGAATTCGATTCGACATACCTCGTTCAGATTAATGTGGCCACCACCCGAGTTTTAGAGTTGCAAGGAAAGCGCATAGGGCCATAATCTCACATAATAATATTACAAATTGGCTGCTGAGCTGCACTTTGGTCCAGCCGTCGTCCTCCATTGTGGTGGTCACATTTTATTCGATTTTATTTATCGATTAACCTCCCTTTTCAATAAGCAGATGTCTATCCGTCCACCTCAGAGCATTTCGTATGCGAGCTAAATATTACATAAGTCTCAATGTTGCAAAGTTACGAAGGAAGAAAATTATAAAACCATTGATGATGACCACCCTTGTGGAATTTACAACCATTTATTATTATTAGCCCTCTTTACATCAAAAACCCAGGAGCATTTTATACGAAGGAGGGGGAGTAAATATTAAGAAGATTTACGACAAGAACTTGGTCCCAAATTGATTCTCCTTTCTCGTCAATGCGGAGCTTCCGTTTGTTTCCTCGTTGACAATGATGTTCCGTCTTTTGTCTGATTATTAACATTATGTATTTCGTGGTCATTCAAGAGGTATCTACATACAACGCGTATTGATCATCATTATTACATATTGTCACCATTATGTCATGATTTTTGAACACGGATCCTATTTAATGCAAGTATTATGAACTGCTCCTTAAGCAAAACCTCAATCCTGAATTCTAATTTCTGTGACATGTGTCATGCATATTTGCACTGCTGCAGTTGTCTTTTTGACCAGTTCACTTGTAAAGTATTGCTGCAAAATAATAAAAGTCAAGCCACAAAACCATCATTATTATTGTAGTCTCTCTATTCAAGGAACACCCATAGTTGCGTAGGGCCCAAAACCCAGAGAGTTGGTTAGCACAACAAAACTTCGCAGCAGGGTCTCAACCGCAGTCTCGCCCACTCATCTATTTTAGTAGCACAAATAAATGTAAAAGTGTGTAAATTCCAGTAAAGGAACTTAAGCTCAGCAAACCAATTGGTTTACAAAATATATACCGAAAAGTGTACGCACCAGTTTTAAAGTTTTTCTTCAGAGTTAAAGAGGCAGTAACTATAAAGATCAATGATGATGCAAAGGCCGGCAAAGTAGAAACATAACATTGCATAACACGCTCAGGATGCGAGAAACGAGCTTATAAAGACCCTTCTGAAGCAGAAATTTTATTTCATTTATGCTGTCGTAAATCTTTCTCGTTGATTTTAACTCCAAAGTTTGAAGAGTTTTGTTAAAAAATGATTTTATGAGTTGGTGTTCAACAAGAAATGAGAAGTATTTGGAATGGCAAACAGTGACTGCATGCAATCAGGTGTCACTCATGGGGTATTATTATCACATTCGGGTTCATATTCTGCTCAAAGTCCACCACCAAAAATGCGGAGGTCTCGTTGTTGGAATATGTGCTCCTCAAGGGAAATTTCAACACAACGTCTTCAAACGCATATGTCCATATCCGTATGTACATATGCATATAGTGAGTACAAGGATCTGCACAATATCTTCCATAGTTCATTGTCATAACTTTTTACCACATGCATACTGTCAGCTATTCTCTACTGTGGTCACGCTTTTTGGTCAACCGATTCCCTTCAGAGTACGTGTTCTTGGTAATTTACTGCAGCCCGAATAAAGTGCCGGATGCGTGAAATATCCTAATGAACTTCACCGTCAACCAAAGCACGAGTTTGCGGTCGAAATTTGTTGGAATAATTATTGCAAACATCACGAAATTTCTTGGTTGATTCAACGGCCATGAGTTTTGCGAGCGAACATGGTAAAAAATAAGATATGTGTTTATGATTTAAACACAATTTAGATATGCAAACTCTTTTTTTTTGCCATAACTGTGTACACATAGATTCTCAAAAAGTCCAACATTGTAGGATGCAAATTTGAAATAATAGTAACTTATTTATAATTAAGTGCAGTGCAATCGAGGCAGAAATGCACACGTATCTACAGATTAAGTGTATGAAAAGTGTGCTGTCTGTAAGTGACAATAAATTAATTTGCCGAGTTTGTTACTACCACCACTCATCTTGAGTAGTATGTAATTAAATTGTAAAAATGTTTTTCTTCAGCGAATCAGATTAAAAGTCAGCATTTTTTCCAGAGACAGAGCTCCGAGAGATGAGATTTATTGCGAGCGACTCTTTCAGCCAGTTGAACCGACTCACTCGAAGCAGTGAGACAGACAAAGGGTTCGAACGGACGTATGCCGACCGAGATTGTGAGACGAAGAAGAGGAGCATAAAATACAAAAGTATTTGCAAATGTCCTATTTATACTGAATAAGACGAACACAAAAGCTCGTAACCATATGGATATTTACATGATCATAAAAGAAAGCACAATGGGCACGTCAAATCCGGAAAGCAGCATGTGGTAATAATCTTGCTCGTATATGCAGCCATAATAACACGATATAAACCCAAATGCAAAAGATGACACGCCTCCCGTCTTTTTTTCACTCTCTTCTCGGAAAGGATTAAAAGAATGCATGAATAAATAATACGCTTCTTATTTACCACAATTCATCCCAATAAACTTTTACATCAGGAGAAATATTCCGCTATGAAGTAAAGAAATTCGGTGTTTATAGATTATCACGAATAGGTATACATCCTCTGCCCACAGATGATCAATATCAGCGTATCTGCCAATTCAATTACTTGTATCATCACAGTTGAAAATTCGAGTCAATAAGAGTATAATTGATCTCTCGATCACAAAGCAGGTCCATCAATTACTTCCGGGTTTAAATTCCCTAGTTATTCCTTGTTCCTAATTTTTCAATATCTATTTATAATAAGCAATAATGTATGACGCGAATTTGCTCTGAGGTGCAAAGTTCCATTATTAGGGTGCTTCATTGTAATAAACCTTCCTTAAGTTTTTTTTTTAATATTTGTGTTTCTAATAATGTGGATTCATTTCGCTAACAGTGTTACATAAATAGGTACTTACACAACAGTTAATGTCGTTCCAGTTACTTTATAAGTACGATATCGACTAAAATGTTTGCATTGAAAATAAAGACATCATAATAAAAATGTTTATGAAAGTATTAAATTTCATTGCATTCTGCATCTACCATGAAAAACTCAATTAAATGTTAAACTGTGTACACATATAGCTATATTTTATCCAGAGTCGTATAATGAAGTTAATAAAGAACGTCCAGTGATAAGGATGCTTTACTAGATATCTGCCGTTAAGATTCTTTATTTAAAACGTATTATACAGATATACGCAATGTTGAAAGATATATGTCTGTCAATTGTATGGCATGATAGCACATCACATACATAATAAATGGCCCTTCTAGCAAAAGGAGAGACTGAATTTAAATGTGGGAAGTGATTTTTTGGTTAGTTTTATGAAACTGAGAAGATTATACAATTACCCGTTGCAACAACACACAGATTTGGAAAGAGGCATAATAATTATTGATGATCAGTCAATTCTTGCTTCAGTTGCGATAACCTTTGAGTTAAAACTGATAACCTTTTCTGAGAGGGGCTGAAGGAAAGGATACGAATGAGAGTTTATTATTCAATTCTGGGAGCAGTATATGTAATGGTGGGTGCTTCTGCTGAGTTTTCTGCGCCACCATTACGACACTCCCGACATAAATCCACAAATAATTTGAGGCAGAATACATTTGGAAGCAGAACAGTTTTTGGTCTGACAAATACATTGAGAGACGCGTACCAACGTTCCTTATTGCGACGGCAAACAACTGTTCTTTCAAGTTTAATCATCTATAGCTGCAAACACGCTGTACTATAAATTTTGTTTTTTTAACTCCATATGCAAATTAAGTGAAATACTTTTGTGTAATCATCAAACTCACGATCACACAATAATTGATAATTAAGTGAAACATATTATCCAAACTCGCCAGTCAATAATACATTCACCTTAAAGTTGCTTCTCAATGCACACACTTATGTATCAGTCAGTATTACATATGTACGATGTACGTATGTACACCTCATCTCGTCACAGAAAATCTAAATCAAAATTACAATACGAAGGGGACAAAAACGTAATTGCAAAATTTTCGAAACAAAAAACAAACAAAAAACACAAAACAGTTTTATATAGAAAACCGTCTCAGACTCTGGCCACGAAGACTATCGCAGTTTGCTTAATTATTTTGTCAGATTTATTGTAAAAACAAATAATACACTGGAGTCAGATTGCAGATTACATTTGTATCTAAATACATTTTGGAATGAGCTTACACAGCAAAGAACATGGATGCAATTTTTTATTATATGTTTATTTATTTTATTTTATAATTATTATTGTGAATAAATATAATTTTTGATGCATCAAATTAATTATTAAAAAATCCAGAATCAGCATCTTATTTAGCATATGAAAGCATAATGCATTTACCATAATCACAAACGTCTCATACTTGCTGAAACGAGCAAACGGAGGAACAAGTTGAGACACGTTGAAACACGTTTGCCAGCAGACTGCAGTCTTAGCGTTTCTCACTCAACTTTTTGGTGTGAATTAAATTTCAATAAAACACATTCCGACAAAAATCTTTCATTTTCGTGAATTTCGAATTGTTTTTGAAAATCTTTCTTGTCATTTCTTTAAAAAAAACGATGGCAGCACCTCAAAAAAGGTATCCACCAACTCTCTTCTTTTTCTGGCAAAAGGACGGCTCTGTTTCGGTGAGACTTTTGGGAAAAGACGAAGGTAAGAAAAACGTTTATTTATAGTAAATACTATTTTATTCATATCTTTAATTTTAATTATTTGTCTAGACTATAAACATCAAATCTTTGAGATTCCCCTCGCCGACAATAATAGAGATATGGGAGCGATCGTCGTGGGAAGGTCAAGTGAGGCGGATCTAGCACAAGTTGCAAGGGAAAGGAGCCAAGAGTGCGAAAGACAAGAAGGGTTGGATGGATGTTCAGCAAGGTAAAACATATCATTTCCAATTATTTATAAATTAATCAGTCTGCAGACTACATATAATTTATTGTAATATAATTTTATAGGAGATTATTCAAGTACGGGTACTACTACGCCCCGAGATTCAGCCGCAGCTTGTATGTCGTCACGGATGACGATGACATCGTCAACGTTCTGAAACCTTGGCACCGGATCTACCTGAACGGGATCTGCTCAAACAGACCATCAGAGTGCATTCTGCAGCTCCAGAAATTTGAAAAACTTCTCAAGTACCACCTGCTGCAGCAGAAAGAATACTTGCCTCCTGCGACCGTGACGTTCATGGAGTCCTGGGGAGATGGCCCGATGATAAGTCATTGGAACTTGTACTCCCTCGAGCTGCAGCTGTTCCATCCCAATCCTGCAAATTTCATCTCTGTGCCAGCAGACACCATGAGTATGGTGATCAAATTTTTGGAAGATGCCAGAATTAATGACATTGCTGATGAATTGTGGATTTGCGTAGAATCGGCTGCAGCCATGTCATCAAAAGGTGAGTAACTTAATAATAATGGGCACTATTGGTTGGATTATTTCAACATATTTTAATTCATTTGTAGCAAAACTCCAACTTCTCGAGGATGACATTGAATTGCCACGACGGATTCAAGAGAGATCACATCAGCCGACTCTCTTTTTCTACAGGAACGATGATGGATGCCTGCAGGCTGAGCTTTTGGAAAACGGAACAGGTACATATTTTTAGTGGAACTTGAACAATTACTTAATTTGTATAATTATTTGTTATCTGCAGACACTAAAACAGTTCATGAGATCGTCCACATTCCCCTTGTCAACACGGATGGAGAAGAAGAGGCCAGCGTCATTGGGAGATCATCAGAGGATCCGTTGCGTACCGGAATTAACAGAGCAGGAAAGGTGGAGAAATCTGCCATGGATGAGGGAAACGTATGCTCAGCAAGGTAGAAAATCATTCATATCAACTAACTTGTAAGTCTGCAGACTTTATTCAATATAACAATTTTGTGTATTTGTAGGCGAGTCCTGAAATATGGAGTACAATACTCGCCCAACGACGCCCGCAGCACAAACGTCGCTACAAATGAAGATGACATTGCTGACCTGTTGAAACGATTCACTAGGATCTTCCTTAATGCAATTTCGTCTTACAAACCATCGGAATGCCTGGAGAAGCTGGCAAATTTTGAAGAAGTTTTGCGAGACCATCTGATGCAGCAAAAGAAATTTTTCCCTCCTTCAACTGTGAAATACATGGAATCTTGGGGAGATGGCCCAATGATCGGTGATTGGAACTTGTTGGCTCTCGAGCTGCAGCTCCCCCACCCAAACCCTGCACACTATATCTCGGTCCCGATGTCGACCTTCCAAAACCTGATGGAAATTCTCATTTACGATGAGAACGCCAATCAATTGGTGGATGAGTTGGATTTGTGTGCGGAGTCGGCTAAAGCTTTGTTAGCGAAAGGTATGATTATGCGATGAGGATGCTATATTTAAAATTGTTTCTCATAATTTAAATTATTGCAGCTCAACTTCAAGCTCGTCCAGCTGTCAACCCTTTCTGGTTCTCAAAGGAGAAGATGATGAAGAAGGGAAAGGTCGCCAAAGCCGTCGAGTTGGTCAAAGTAGGCCACTCAGAACTTGATGCTGCAGCACAGATGGGAATTCCCAGGAGGACTGTAGAATTGGAGATGAAGAAGGATGGAGTCAAGTCCAAATTTCGACCAGGGCGTCAACCATCCACTCGCTACACATCGACACAAATGACTGCAGCCGTGGAGTTAGTGCGAGAAGGGAAGACATATGACGAGGCTCGTTCACCTTTCAAAATTCCCAAACAAAGTCTGCAGGATGCATGTAAGCGTTTAGGAGTAAAGTCAGCCAGGGCCTACAAGAAGAATCGCCTGTAAATTTGTTTATTTTTATACTATATAAACCTACCCCATTACTGCAAAAGTAAAAAATTCCAATTATATGTAGGACTATATCTAAATACATGTATATTTAGTTTTTCTTTTCGAGGAAATCTCATCGATTAGAGTTTTTATTGGCAATAAAGCACAGAAATTCCTGATTCACGGATCATATACCTGCTGCCGTGGGTATGGAAGGCGCAGTGAAAGAAATTAATAGTTGATGGGACGAAGGGGATACAGGATGCACCAATTTATTGTCAGATAATGGATGGTCAGCATTAATTTTACGGCAAAAGCAGACACTTACCTCTGCTACCAACTACCAATCCTCGGTGTCTCAACACAAAATAACAATGGGACTTGGCTCGGTGAGGTATAATTTGGAGCCAAATCAGTTCCAGTACGAGTTTTAAGAGGCGTCTCGCCATAAAAAGCCTGAGTGAAGAGGACTCATTTCATCGCTTTCATCGCATGTTTACGTACTTATAGCACACACGCCAAAAAAGCACTTGCCCACAAAAGTGCATGGTGAGAAAGCCGGATAGTTTGATCAATGACTTTTTCATATTTTGGTTGGTCGGATTCCTGATTGTGTGATAAACGCAGTTGTTTCCATTCAATCCATTTTTAGTATTTTTTTAGCTCCACTTACTTTCCACGAACTTGAGAGAATGCGTCCTTGGTATATTATTAGTACGTATTGTGACCAAAATATATAGAGGGAAGGACTTGATTATGATGTACATATTTATCTATCATGTATTTCAAATTCCAGGAAGTTTTGTAATCAAAAACCAAAGAATGATGCCAACTTTTCTTTCGGACCTCGTCTGCATGCTTGTAAATATGGTTTCAATGTGCACACAATAATGCGGGATCATTACTAACGGTGTTGATTGCACATTGTGTTGATGAAAAAGACACGAACTTAAAATTTCTAAGAAGATGGTGCTGCATTAAAAGTTATTGAGGGAGACAGTATTTATTAGGTGTCTTTGCACAACAAAGCAGGTTCTGCATTGTAAATTGGATAAGACTATCATTTTGACTGATGTGATCTATGGGGAAAAGGATACAGCATCATTTACATGCAATCTAGTTCATGCAAGTTTAGATGATGGGTTGAAATCTTGTTCGTGAGCGAAGTGATATATTTGCATGGGGAAAAGCACAAAGTGTATTTAAGTAATGAACCAAGATTGGTTGGCGATGGAGATGAGATGAATTTGGTGGTTTCTAATGTGCAACAAAATTTTAGCGTGATGAAGTTTGGTTAATTACAGCATTGAAACCATATGGTGCTTCCTTTTCTCCTCCTCATTCTCCTCCGACGATGGGGACAGGCAGGAAAGTTGCTGCCAAGAGTTGGCTTTTAGTTATGCAAAGTGCAGAGACAAGTGTTATCATCAGAGAAGGGAGGAAAAGTTGTGCAAGTGGATGACGAAGAAGAAATGCTAGCAAAAATTATAAAAGATTATAAGCAAAGTATTTTTAAAAGCCCATTTCATCCTCATTCCATCCCATTATTTTCATCTATAAGATTCCAAGTTGTTCTAATATTATCCTTAATTACAACATTTGAATAATAATTAAGTTTCAGCAATATCACGCAGAATCAAACTGTTCCTGTGTTTTTTTAAATTTTAAGATTTATTCGTAAATTCAAAATCCAAGGGTTTTCTGTTTTTTGATAGTCCATATCCTTATTATTACTTAATTTACAGTACGACCTTTACATGCAAATACAAACTTTAGCTCTCAATGATAAATTAAATTATAGTACATCGAATCATGATCATGTCTTTTTTAATATGCAAACTCAACAGCGATGATGTCTTACTTGTAGTCAGGAACTTGAAATATTCTCTTGTTCAGTGTCAATCAGAAACACATTTGAACTCCATGTAGGGAAATTTACGACATACTACAAAACTGAGACCTAATTGTTGCTAACAGCAGGGCGAAAGAGGTAAGGAATTCAAATGTGAGAAATCACATTCATAAAGTAAAAGTCCATAAATCAATCGCAACATGTTCACTTGTATTTGTAGCATTGGAAGTTCAGTGCACAGAGCGACTGAGGCAAAAAGGAGCTACAAATCTAATTGTGGTTGCCACTCTGTCAATCTGTTCAACGAAATCTGTTATTGTTGTGTTCTTCTTGTACGTAAATATTTTTCATGCTGGAGAAGCAGCAAGGCAGCGTCTTCGCTGGACAGGAACACGGATAAAGAAGCAGTTCAATTAATTGGGTGAGAGATTCCCTGGGTCGTAGGTTATGAGAGGGAAAAGGCTCCTTCGTATTACCAAGTCTACGCTCGATTCCAATAGACACACAACTCGTAGTGATGTAATTTACAACAACTTTACTCTTCAAATCACAATTATTTCATGGAAATTTATTGGCATCTGCATATTTTTTATATGCCATGTGAATAAAGAAGCAAATACATATCTGCACAATTCCCTTCCTACATAATGCAAGCTATTAACCCGAGATTTAATCTGTTACAATACAATAATCGTGGATGTATGATGTATTACACCAACAAACAAGGCATGTACATACGCATGATTGTCTTCTTCACCTGTGATGATGACTTCAAAGGGAACTGATAAGATGGTTAAAAGATAGAGGTTTAACAAAACAAGAAAAAAAATCATGCCTTATGAAAAAAACCAGAGTGAAGCGCCGATGTGGACGATGATGAAAATTGTAAATGATGGTCAAATATTTCAAAAATCGTATAATGCTCATGGTGAAATTGCAGGCAGCGAGCATGGACTGATCGAGAAATGGTGTACGCAATGCATGGATATACGTATGTATAAAACTAAAAAGACTGGATTTTTTGGTTGGTTTGGATCTTGGGATTGTATAAATGAAGATGAGTTTGAGATTTTCGTTGGTTCGTTTCTTGTCCATGGGTCAATTGTTGACTGTGGCTACGGAAGAGTCCTTGGGTTCATCACACAAGATTAATGATCGATTGTGCAGCAGTGTTGGAAGACGCACCTCCAGGGCGTCCTATGGACCTTGGCAATTGTTGAAATCTGCAGGGTGTCCCACTCTGCTTTCAGTGTTTCTTTGGGTGGGGGTCCTCAGTCAGCCTTTATTCAATCTTTGGACATAAAACATTCCTTCGTCCACTTTGGCTTTTATTACTCCTTCCACCACCAAAAAAACCCAGCAGCGAGCACCATGCAGCATTTCGTACCACTGCATATAAACATAATACATTGGTAGTAATGTGTAGTAGTAGTACATCTCTTGCACAAAGGCATAACTCGACTCTCAAACATTAAATAACGGCGTGAGGACGTCCATTTCGGCTGCTTAAGATAATTCACATGCAGTAATAATATTTTAAGTTCAAACAATTTCTAGCTAATATTTATTCTTCTTTCGTTCGGCCATTTATGCTTGGGAACAATTTGAATTACATTTTCAGCCAAAAATTGCATAATCCATGTTCCATGAAAATTTAACAATCAACAATATGTACCAATAATGCAGCATCTGCAGTGTTATTCAAGTCTGATTGTTTAATAAAGAAAGCTATTAAGTATTCCACTAATGTTTGTTATTTAGCTGATGTAATATGCACGGATTTACGTATATATGTACATGGGGATTCACGCATGGGAATAGGCTGGTGACAAGGAGTACAACAATTTGGTTGGAATGAAGTTAAATGAATGCGTTTAAAAAGTTGACAAGACAAAAGACACCGACGGATATCATATCGTGATAATGTCTCTCTGAGCGAGGAGTGAACGAGAAAGGTGACAGCCGCCGCTTCTACCGTTGTTCAGTCCCTCTGCGTTTTTTGTATTTTACTGCTCCTCGCACACCACTCCCGTAAATATACATGCATTTTATCTCTTTGACTAATTTGTAAAACAAGATAAAGAAACCTTTTCATTTGTTCCGTGAATTAAAGAAATGCCAGTGTCACTCACATATAAAAAATACCAACGGCTTATGTATGCGTGCATGTAGTTGTTTTTCATGCTGCACAAAAAGTCACCACCACACCGTTATTATTACCAGCTTTAAAACTGCTTGGGCACGATGCTAATTTCATATTGTCATCTTTAGTCTTCTTCATTCATTTAGTTTCTGTATTTGAATTGCCCAACATGTTTTTAAGGTTCAAATCCACACTCCCAGCGAGTGAGTACTTATTACGAGTTTGTCAAATGTATGAAATTTTTCTCAGAAGATAATAAAAGTGTGAAACAACTCTGCGCATGAATATGCATATGCTCTCCCCTGTCAAGAACTGTTGCGAGTCATTTCAGTTGTCATAAGTATACATCACAAGCCTTCGTTTTTTACAATGCCGATGTGATGCCTTTACAAGAGACAGCTTTTTAGTTTTAATACCCAAGCCCAGAACAATTGATGGAGGAAATCACGTTGAATGATAATTGTGTGATGCACATTTGTGTACCTTTTTTATGCACCGAGTACGGGACAGGTAAATATAAAAGCGACATCAAAACTGAACTTATCACTTAGTTCCAGTGTTAAAATAAAGGCGAGATTCAAATCTCATAATCAGGCCGACCAGACAGATCCGTACGAAGAGACAATACCTTCCCGTCTCCCCTGCGACGAAGAAGAAGAGACCACATAGAAAACACAACAGCAGGGTGACGGTGGTAGGTAAAAGTTACACTCGGGAATGTCACAGCTTCATAAAAAGTCACGTTTACGAAATTCACAATGGAATAAAAATAGCAAACTGATTTATTCTTTGGTGAGTGGGTCTTAAAGCGTGTTTTTGAATGTCAGCTAGTAGGGAGACAAGGCATGAAGGCTTAAGAAGCTAAGCATTAGCATGTACGTATGTATGGATATGGAAGCTGGACTATTTAACTGACTAACCGTTTATTGGTGCTGCTTGAGTACTGACAGTTTCGAGCATGATTACCTATCCGTGTCGTCCCCCTTCCGACTCGTTCCCTTAAAACAATGCTACGAGTGCAAACAAAATCTGCCGAAGCCAGTGATCTGTTGCTGGTTGTTGTCTCGATCGCTTCGTCCTAATCACTAAAGTCCACTCCCAGTTTGTTCGAGTAAATTGTGAAATACGACTTTTGG